ACTAGAGTCTAGGAATACGAGTCTGTTTGTGGGATTACCAGCTATTTATGATCAATAATACATGCCTAAAAATTATCACTTGTTTAATGAAAACAAGATGAAACAATGGTTGTGCTGCCCACAGCCCACATTATGCACCTATCAATGTTAAGCCCCGGGGGGGGGGGTCGGGCGTATGTGGGGATTCGATTTTTTGAGCAAATTTTCGATCAAATGCCCCACCGTTTTTCAATAAATTGCAGTAAATACTATATTAATAACAATCATGTGGTACAAATTTCCCTACCTTGGGAAGAAAATAATGATCAAAATGGATGGGTGGGGATGCAATTAACAATCAAATCCCCCACATATGCCCCCCCCCCCCCGGGCGTAACATTGATAGGTGCATTATTCATAGTTGTCAACAATATTGTTGAACATTGTTACACCTGATTGCGGGCTGAATCAGACTCAACAGTCAACAATGCTGACCAATATTGTTGACAACTATGAACAATATGGGCAACACAACATTGTTGCATCCTGTTTTCAACAACCTTGAACAAGGAATAGTTTTTAGGTGTGTATAACAAACATTAAAAGTTAAAACGTGCACATGTCTGCCATTATGTGCCAGTCTCTCCTATCTTGCATGTAAACATTAACAAGTTGGATCAATGTATTGTTTACCAGCACATTATCTGTACTCTGCACAGGTCATATGCTCCAGATGACCTGTAACCTGTTGTATAGAAAAATGTTAATTTATGGTTATTAATTTATTATATATTATTGAAAATATTATATTGGAAATATTATTGAAAGTATACACTTGTCACTGTATTGTAAATCAATTTCCTAATCTTTCATGATCGAGGTGCTCCCTTATGTAATGAAATCTGTTACCAAAACATTTTTTCACTCAACGTTTACTAATTTAACACTTATGAGCTAAAAATAATCATATCATTTGGCTAAAAACTAATTAACCCCCTATAAACGTATTTATAGAAATACCAGTACCATCCAACCCATGCGAGCTTAATCCTCTTAACAGAGACACAACAGTATTTGCTATCAATAATTATTAAGTTATTGTCACTACAAAGAGATGCTTAAAAATCTTGTTTCAATGTTTCTTCTTTTTTTATCAAACACAGGATATTAGTGGTGATAATATCAGTAATGATGAAGTAGATATAACACATGAAATCAAAAGAATTCGCAGGTATTGTTGAATATCTCTCTTTAGAGACTATGACTCTGTGATACATATAATTTATTTATTTACTTATTTACACTTATTTATGCACGGTAACATCTCAACCATCCTAACTATTAAAATTTTAAGTTAAAAGTTTGTCAATGTCACGTTTAGAACATTAAGAAAAAATTATAAGGTTGATTTTCAGATGGCCGTGCATATAAAAATAAAAGTAAGAATATTTGATAAAAATATATGATAAGAATATATATATATAAATATGTACAAACATGGTGATATATGTCAACCTTCCCTAGTAGAATGTTCGTTCAATGGGAGGTTATTCCAAGCTGCAGCACCTTTGTAAGGGACCGGTCATTAATTACAGGGGAGGGGGGGGGTCAGGTATTTTTGTGCATGAAAAGGGGGGGGGGCAAAAATTTTTGTGCAATATAAATACCTGCCCCGCATGACCGGACACTGTCGTACCATAAAACCTACAGATAAAAAATAGAGAGCAGTAGAACTGTAGTAAACTCCAAAACAACACCATTTATTAAACTGATTTCAACATAAACATGTAGATTGGAACAGCCGTTGACTCAATAAATGGTAAAGAATATATAAATTACGATACATGTACATAGGGCACAATGGGCACAGTTGCCAACTCTCACAGATCCACCATGAGCATCACAGATTTTACTAAAACCTTGAACAGTGAGCTCACAGCTTGTTAATATCTCACAGATTTCGAAAATAATCCAACTGGGTTCTTAAATATGTTGGCTTTGTTGCACATTTTAACTATTAAGAGTGACTTCATTTGCGTCAAATTACATAAAACTTTTTTCTTCTGAAAAATTTTACTCCAAAAATAGATAATCAAAACATTGCTTCATGCAACCTCGTACTTGTGGGTATTCAACAATATGGTTTTGTATATCTAAATAAAAGCTACCAAAAGTTGTGTGTATAAGGTGTAGAAGACTCTGAAAATGCCATTTCTAACGATCTGGAGACTTCATATTTTCAAAATTTCTCCCAAAGCAAAATCTCAGATGTTTTTTCCCCAAAAAGTTGGCAACTATCATAGGGTAGTATGATTAAATGTGGCTTCACTTTATATGAGCTATAAATTACGAATATGCCTTTTGTTATTTGCATGTGGTGGTGGTGGTGGCGGTGGTGGTGGTGGTGGTGTCAAGTATAATTGTGTTATTCTCAAGGGGGGGGGCAACAAAATTTTAGCATCTAATTTTTCATTTCCACCAGCCCCCCCTGTAATTAATGACCGGTCCCTAACAAAAGCTTCTTTTAAGAGCATTAGTGTTGGGTTAAGTTTATGTAAGGAGAGAGCAATTATTACTTCTCAGTGGGTAAACACTAATTGTCCCACACTAATGCGCAATAATCAAAGTGTGGTAAAACAATAGCACTATAAATAGTTTTTAGAGTATTACTGTCTAGCAGATCTTTAGATCGCCTCAGTAAGCCAATTCGTTTAGCGGCTTTTTGGCCACATAATCAATATGATTACCCCAGGTGATGTTTTCATCAACTAATACACCGAGTGTTTTAGTAGAATAAATACAGCTGATTCTCTCAGATCATATAATAAGATCCAAATCAGATTTTACTTGGGACAATTTTGTCTCGATCCAATCAACATATACTCAGTTTTTTGAGCATTTAAAGTTAATTTGTTAGTTAATAACCAATTGTGAATATTGTGTAGGTCAGTCTCCAATTTCTCTTCTATCTCCCCAGTGGTAGTAGCACCACACACTGAGAGATTAGTATAAGACTGTAAATAGAAAATTTAAAACGTAAATCTACGTATTTGTGACTTGATCGGCCAATCCCTCCCTGTTCCCATTCCTGTTTTTTCAGTGCAGAAAGAATTCCCTTGATGTGTGTAGTCGACACACATGCAGTTGCATCCTGTATTTCTGGTAAATATTGTTAAAGTTATTATTATTATTTTTTATAATGATTATATTCTTAATAGCATACTTCCACTTTTTAGTGATAATTCCATGGCCATAGCTTCATCTGGAGAAACAAGTTCTTGTGTTGAAAAGAGTTTCAGGTACAAACAAAATATAATTAGGGGTCAACATTGTATCAAGCTATTTTGTATGCATATGTATATACTATACTGTAAATTCTCTATTTACCCTCCAGCCTCTTTTTATCCCATCCCCCCCTCTTCCAATACGTTACACCCCCACTTTAAAACCTGCAAAAATAAAATACAGCCCCGATTCTCCATTTAGCCCTACCCTAGATTAGAACAAAATATGATTAAATTAAAAAATAAATGCTCCAGTTATATACAGAATTGTATACACAGAATTGCACTGGTGTGTTTAAATTCAATAATGTAAACAACAAAATAAAAATTATGCTGTGTTTTTTATTGAAACTTTATAGAGTTGTTGTTATTTATAATCATGTGCATTCGCCTATTCAACATGAAAATGTATCTAGCAAATTAGCCTCCATTCTGTAATTAGCCAACCTTTAACCCATTAACGACCAGTGCTCTACCACTGATGAGTAAAATTGTCTGGCGTCAGACAGAGTAAATACTAAAGTACGGCGCATTGCACGTTAATGGATTAATCTCCACTTTCAAACTAGCAAAATGAAATAAGCTCCCAGATGGCTTCTGCTGGATGACTGATCCCATTCTCATCTTATCAAAATTCAAGTTGGTGACTATCATTTTTATATAGTTGCAAGACAGACAATGTATCGAAACATGGAAACACTAATTCATCATCAAACGGAATGTTAGCTTCCTCCAGCACCACTCAACCTTCTGACGATTTAGACAGCATGTATGCAACTTTACTTTTTAATGAAATAAATGTTGATGTGTTTGAGAATGATCTTGTGGTGGAAGCAACAGAAGTAAATGTTTTGACCGGGTCAAATGCTGTAAGCATATAGGCATAATCTATCAGTTGATTTCAGAGATTTGGTATCCAGCATCGTAAAACTTATGTTTCTGCAGAAATGTTGCCTGGACTATTATGCTTCAAAAATGTTTTTGAGTTCATGTTCAACAGCATGAGCTACATCGTTTTTGAGTTCCATCAAACAAGACGATAATTTTTTTTTATGTGAACAGAGATTAGGAGAATCGTTGTTATATCATGAGATTCTTTTTTATCTTTCGGACCTTCGATACTTGAATGATACTAAAAATCATTCCATTATGTTAACTAGTTGCTGAAACATCTCGAATGCTTCATGCACATCTTTTGGTGAACGCCAACTTCTCATTTCACATACATATTCAAAATACTCCTGATAAATGTTTTCACTCTCATCATTTCGCTCACTTGTTTCCAGCTCGAGTAGTTTGGTGTGCGATACCTCACAAAGGCAATTATCCCCACCATAATATTCGGGTATAAAAAACAGTAAATCTGGTATTCCGGCAATAGTTTCATGCTGTGATTTTCTGATGTAATGGCTGTTCCATTGATCTTTCACATTATACAACTCTTGTTGAATTATTCTGCTATAACAGAACCACAGACATTCCATATGGTAAACATTTCCAAGTTCTAAAATGCCTGTTTGGCACATATCTTGAAAAAGATCAATCCACCATCCTGATCGGTTTCGCCTTAAAAAAGACCACCACGCTTCTATTCTCTGATTTGCTGGGGAAGACCCGTAAATATGCGATTTCTCACCAGCCCATTCATCCAAACCATCCGCTTGGAGATAGCATTGCATACCAGCAATTAAAACGTTTTCAGTCTTCACAATCTGTCCTCACACGCTGTGGACAACCACCAACCTCTGACAAAATCTAAATAAATTTCAGCAACAATCTGTGGATCATTATTTGATCTCAAGACCTCCAACCAAAGAATGCGCCTACTGTACCCACATATTGCACCATGGACTGCAAACCCATAAGGTTCCAATTTATCGTAACCTACAACACAAAGAACAAATTTCAGCTTAAAATTATTTGAACTGGTAAATACAAACATTGGAGGAAATTGTGGTTTGACAAAAAATGAGCCTAATCTATAATTCTACACTACAGCCTAAATATAAATTCATACCGTCTGAGTGCCAACACGCATTTGCCCCTTTGCTGGTGTATGTTCTTCTGTGTAGTCGTCTAGTTTTCCTGGACTGAACACCATCAGGGTCAATCTCTCTCAATAATCTGCTGATAACATGGCGGCTTACATGTATGCCATGTTTTATACGTAAAGCATGCCAGATCCCTCTGCACCCAGAAAGTCGTCCTGGGCCTTGAGTTTCTTCAGTGACGAGAGCACATAATTGATCTTTGTCAAAAACGTTTCCTTTTCTTTTCAATCCTAATCACTTAAGACGCCTTTTTAATGTGCTCAGTGATAAATGGATACCATTATTTCCAAGCAATTCGACAATAGCATCGTATGGATAGCCGCGATGGAAACACACTTTTATAACCTCACAGCTTTCGCAGTTTATTGCCCCTGCTTCTATGTCAACCGCAGTGCATCCTGAACAGGGCATGTGTTATCAAATTATGAACAAAAGCTGACAAAAGTGGAAAATAGAATTATAATTTATGACCAAAATTAATTGTTCGAACTTCAAAATTGAAAACAGCAACATATGCACCTGCAGTACAACCGCTGGTTATGATGTGAGGCCATGCGCGCGCACAATTTTACTTTCTTTTATGTGTGTTAATATTTTTTGTTTGTGCATTGCATAATAATTATTTATTTCATACATAGTTGTATTATTTGGGGTTTTTTTATATTAATTTTATGTTTAATTTTTATTATTGCGTTTCTTTTTTATTTGCATTGCGTTTATTTTTTATTTACAGCTTATACATTTTTATTAGTGTGTTCAATTATTTTTTTGTGTGTATATTTTTATGTTTGTGTGTGACCCTTGTGAGCCACCGTAAGATGATGATATGGCTATGTCGTAAGCTTTGGAAAACCCTCCTTTTGACTTCAGGCTACTGGCTTTAGCAGTAGAACATGGCATAGATAATTGACACCTGCTCATATACAATTTAAGTCCTGGCATTTGCTGGAATGCCGGTCATCTGTGACTGCTTGGAGGATGTACAGCGAAAATACAGGGACTTTTTCGATAAAATATACGAATGGAAAACCCGCTAAACAGAGAGCCAAAGTAGTTTTGAAGATTCTCGACCTGAATATGTGAAGATAGCAAAGCGTTTGATCAACTTTGAAGCGAGAGATGTTGTACTTGGCACTTGCATGCCATGGTCTGATGAATTTCAACGCTACGCGTTGCTACTTGCTGAATAGCAATGTATCAATCAGAAATTTATTCATACAACTAAACCAATGTCTCAATAATTGGAAACTTACTTCAAAGTCAAAAGGTATCGTACAATGAAACTTTACAATGCGAGTATATTTGTAAAATTATGTGCAAGAATTTCTGTTTAGAATTTCCTGTGCAGGATTGTCTGATCCTGCACTGCTGTTGACCAATCAAATTGCGTGTTTCACTGTAGTTATTATATAATTTTAATTAGACTGTTTTGTCTGGAATACCAACATGGCCACCATAGCTTTTGTTGAGGTGGTCCCTGGGGAATGAGTGCAAACACTCTATTTTATTGTTTTTATATACATTTTTATTGCATTTGTGTACATACTTTCAGACAAAGCATTAATGTGCACTTCCATATCTTCATATATTTCCCCAGGTATCAAAACCTCTCCATCCTTATTTTTTTGCACAGTGCCAAAACATGTATGTTCTATTTCCCATTCTGTATCTAGCTTTCTCTTCAAGTTTCCAAATTCTTTTCTTTTTGCTGGTCATCCTGATTTAGCTTCGCTGTTAGCTCCCACCAACTGCCCATTAAAAACACAATAAATGTCAACCAGTAAACATCTAATAAACAATTTGAGAATTAAAAAAGTGGGGGAGTTGGATCTTGTTCCAAAAGCAATCGAACCATGCCATGTTTCACTTGGCTGCACACAACGCTACCTCACTGAATACAATTGAAAAAATACATTTTTGCTGCCGTAGGCAGCACACTATTCTTGACAAATGATTTTAACGTTATGACTCGTGACAGTTTCCTTGACCGAGTTATAATGATGCAGCTTGATTCAAAATATATAAGAATTTGGATTTCTGTCAGTCAGTAATTGCTCGTAAGAGGCTGTAAAGCTCTCGTTCTGTACTTTCCACCATGATGAAAAATATAAAAAACGATAATTTCTTCACAAATAACAGACAATAATTTTGTTAGAAAATTATTTTTTGCAGGTACGTTTTAGCCAATTATTAGTATAAGGTGTTGACAATGTTTACTTATTAGTAATAAGTTTATATTGAACGTTTAAATATCATGACAGAATGATGCAGGCATGTTCAATGTTGGCAAATGTTGTTATGATTTACAAAGAAAAACGTGAAAATGATTGAAGACTTGATATTAAGGTTCTGCTCACAGGCACAGGGTATATAACTATTAACTCAACCATGAAGGAAAACATCAAAATGACATATAGTGGTTGTTTAGTCTCTATAGTCTTGTATAATAGTTGTCTATAGTGTAGTATAGTGTTGTATAGTCTTGCATAGTGTCATATAGTCTTGTATAACGTTGTATAGTGTTGTACAGTGTCGTATAGCCTTGTATATTGTTGTATAGTCTTGTATAAGGTTATATGGTGTCGTATGGTATACTGTATACTGTTGTCGTCTTGTATACTGTTGTATAATGTTGCCTAGTGTCGTTTAGTGTCATATAGCCTTATATAGTGTTGTATATATAGTCTTGCATAACATTGTATAGTGTTGTATAGCTATATATATATTGTTGTATAGTCTTGTATAACGTTGTATAGTGTTGCATAGCCTTATATATAATGTTGTATAGTTTTGTATAACGTTGTATAGTGTTGTATAGCCTTGTGTATTATTGGGTAGTGTCGTATAGTGTTGTATAGTCTTATACAATGTCGTATAGTCTTGTATAATTAACATTGTATAGTATCGTATAGCCTTATATAGTGTTAGGGTTGGGGCAAAACAATGATGGCAATGATAACATGGTGTATATTTTGAGAAAGAACAGAAAATATGCTATGTTTTATTGAGAGGACGTAGAATTGCCATAATCATTTACATATGATATCAATGTTTTTTGAATGAATCGGGAAAGTTGACAAATTTTATGTGAAAATCTAATATAGTTATTAATTTCTTGTTAACCGAATGTGAGGTCTGTACAGAGGAATATCGGACAAGGTCTTTTTTTGTACAGACTACTGAGCCTGTAGGGTGAGGTTTGTAAAAAAAGACTGAGATCCAATATTTCTCTGTACATACCAAGCAAACAAGGTTAATAAAGTTGATTATATGGTATTAAAAGGCATTTACACTTGAAACAAACACGATTTGCATGATTTGAAATGCATGTTAGTAGCGTGGTACACATTTGGTTGAAGAAAACAAAAAATACCAATATATTCCTTCTTTTCCACTAAGAACCATTCGCAGATATCTTATTAATAACAAACTAAATAATAATTTTCAAATTTTCAATTAGTTTCGCCATTTTGTGGACTGCTGAAAGTGCTCCTCAGCTAATCACAGTCTGCCATTTCACCGGAAGTGATATTTGCCATATGCCTACTAGTGATGCTTGCTAGTTTACTCCTCCATGCTGGTTGACGTGATGAGCCGACACCACTGCACACATTGTGTGGCAAGTTATCAGGTTAATCACTTAGTATCTACATGTGATGATCAACACGCATAACCTGTTATAGTTAGGGACCGCGTGTTTCCGGTTTCTTGGCATTGGAATTAGCGAATTTCGCATGCTTAAATAGCCTATATTCACAGCAATATAACTTACGACTTAGGTAAAACTTGCTTTTAAAACTTTTTGTGTTGATTAATGAAGCATAGATATACAAAAGAAGACTATTTTGAAACTTTGTTGTCGAGTTGTTCCAAAGTTAGAACCCACAAAGTTGTCGAATTTTCGTGCCGTGGAAGCCAATAAATTACATGGCACCGATATTTGTCGTCAATACCTTGTGTGTTCAACCGTGAATCTGGGGTGACCCCCGGGGTCTTTTTGGATAATATGGGTATCAGAGGAAAGCGAAGGATCTCATCTTTACCATGAGTTGTGATTTTTTTTTAAATCTCAATTCTGAATGCTTTGTACTGTAGAAAGCAATAAAACATTTACAATTTCTTACTTTTACTCTACGAAATGTCAGGAAAATCAGGTATAGTTGAAATCTTTGTTAAATAAGCTTTTGTTTGATATATATTTTGTCTTGTAAGAGTTTGGGAGTCATCCCAGATTTGCATTTAAACTTGTTATTTTATCAGATTCTAAATTGATGTGAAGTGACGAAGACACATGTTGTGAAAGTTGCAACCACTTTATTAATGAACAATTCTACAAAACCATGCTGGTGGAAAGGTGAGAACAAAATTTGTTATAATCTTTTTATGAAAATATTTGAAGCAAGTGGTTGTGTCCATGGAAACCAACATGAAATAACCAGAAATAGCCTACTTGTATTAGACCAGAATATTACTCTGCCAAAGTACATGCTAAATCTTAAGCGAAAAGTAATCAGATTCATGGAAAAGAATCCCTGTAGTGGTTGCAGTGTTATTTTAGAGAGCTTTATTCGGAGACCAGGATAAACTAGGTATGGAGCTAAATTAATATAGGGAGAAAATCCGTGAGCCAGCGAGTTCCTTGTTGTTATGATCACTTAGTTTAAATAAAAATAAAGACATTAGTACAAAGGTATCATAGTTTCGTACAGCAGTGCAGTGTCTCGTAGAGAGGAAGCGAGAATTGATGAGAAATAAGGGTAATAACATATGTGACGAGGTTTGTACGCGAAGAATTAAAATTTCCTCAAAATCAAGGAAGTCTTGGAGAGAATGCATTTCTGTATCAAAAATCCTAAGATGAACTTGTAAAAGAAATTGATGTATTGCTAAAGCATGTGGGCAGTTCTTCTGCTGAAAAGAATCACTGACTGTTAACTAATATGTTTGGGGTGTATACGCCATTATTGGTTGAACTAATGTCTGCCGTTTTATTATTAGTGTACATCAATTTTCCAATACCACAAGGATTGGATGTGCCAACAGATTCAACATGTGTGCTAGCTTTTCTAAATGAATCACCAAGACAGTATGTGGAAATTGAACTATTAATTGAACAAGCAGTCCAGTTTCAAATACATAGCTCAGTAATTTTTGTTGTAAGAAATGTTATGTTTCATCGTTACTCTGAAAATATTGAAGACAATTGTTTTCCCAAGTAAAGTGCTTCAAATTTGCAATGAATGATGCCATCAGTGTAAGTTTTGTTGTGTTGTCATGGAAACAGGCTATGTAAAGTTTGTTTAGGGTTTTTTAGTGCTTACAGTATTAAGGAAACTGTCAAAATCTATAAAATATCATGAATAAATCTTGGAAACAAAGACAAGCACATTTATCCAATAAGAATGCAGAATAATGATGTCACATGGTTTCCATGGCAACTGAAAAAGTTATCTGTGGTATTTCAGATCACATGTAGCATTGTCTTGCAAACATTTTATTTCTAAAAAGCAATATTTTATTGTGACAAAACACAATAATTGTTCAGAGCTATGACGTTGTTATGATGTCATCATGTTTCCATGGTAATGCAATTTTGTAACATTTTATGAACTTGTACTAATTAATTAATATATAACAGGTCATACAACATTTTTGTAATGGTTTTGTGTGCAATAATTTTAGTTATAATTAATTATAGTTTGCATGATAATTGTTTAACTGTTACACCATGTTGTTGCTTTGTGTGTTACCAATGTACTCTGAAAATTTCATGGTCTCAGGCATGTTAATGCCTGGGTCTGCCCACGCTTGGATGATATCTTGCGCGAGTGTTGCACACGCAATCTGTCAGTAATGCGTCTGTTAGAATATTCGCCCCTTGTGTGAGTATTTTAGTGAATTCGGGCGTTTGCTTCAAATCAAAATATAGTATATATGAGCGACAGGATTATTTTGGTATATACAATGCAAAGAAGTCGGTATACTATTCAGTTTTGATGTAATAATTGGCTCTTTGTATAGCAATAAGTATTGTATCATTTGCGACAGCTGACCTTTGAACTGCTGATAAATAAAAGCTTCTTATAGTGTGCTATCTTGTGATTATTCAGTATTAAGTGTTGACTGTTTCTTATTTTCAATGAAAAATTGCTTGTGAATTACAAATCAATTATAGCACGTATAGTTCACTCGGTCTTTTCCACCATGGCATACTTCCCTTCAAGCATTAACTATGCCTCAAGATATCGGCTTGAATGCGCAATGAATGTTGTTATTGGAAATATAATATCCCTTACAATAAGCGGCAGACTGTTTCATTATGGCGCGTGAAATTCATCACGCGAAAAACGCGTTCGACTTGCAGCAGGGTAATTTGACGAAATTTTGCTATGTTTGTTAGCTAAAAACATTAACAAGGGAACAAAGTTTCGTGCGTTAATTTGGAAACTGTACATTTATTTGTAGATAACATTTAATGACGCGATTAACATTCGTTTGATGCCGATCATCGTAATATAGCCGCATAAAATAATGAAACGAAGCCTAAATGTAAAGTTTCCGAATTTATTCAATAAACAATGATATTATGTGTGACTGATCGCAATTCTGCGTCCTCTCATTCACGAATTATACTGCTGAACAGCCTCTGAATAAAAAGTATCATTTTTTGTGTTGTTTTTCGAAATATACATCACGTGATCGTTGCCATGACAACGAAAAGTAGGTCAACTTTTAGAATCTCCTTTGATAAATCATATAAAACTTGAATGGTAATAATCAAGGCCATACTTATTTTTTTATGATTTTTTGTTTATTTTCACTAAATACACAAACTGAGACCCAGGCATTAATGTACCTGAGGTGATCGGATGAAAGGTCTGGAAGTTAGCACCTTATATGTTGAAAAATTGGTTTAAAACCAAGCATTTTGGTGCCACATTTCAAACCCAGCTTGTATACATTTACACTGGCAGGGGGGACGGTGCAGGCATTTTTTGTGCCTCTTCCAAAAAATGGGTTAAAATTCCGATCTTCAAATTGCCATAACTTTTGACTGTCTTAACCGATTTTGATGAAACAAAGACCAAAATGTTTTAAATGACGAGCTTGTTCGAAATAACATAATTATGGAGCCCCCCTGTGAATTTGAAATTTTAGCTGTTATCCAGTGATGTTTTCCAGGGGGAACGCGGGGGAACGACGTCCCCCCACCTTTCTTACCAGGGTAACAGCATCCCCCTGCCAAAATCAAACATGGGGAACACCGCCCCCCTGGCAGGGATTAAATATTAGCAAAGTTCAGTGAATGCTGTTCGACACCGTCCAAATAATTTTGGCTATCACTTGTTCTACATATGTTATTTGCCGAAAATTCTAGCAGACTAGCACAAAATACTAGTCTAGAGTCCGATAATTGACGTCCGCTTAGATAGTACTTATTGTCATCAGCACGAGTAACGTCAGGCAGCAGCCCAGCAGGATATCATTTGAATTACCTTATGCATGAAGTTAGCAGAACATGATACCTGAAAAAAAAACCTTGCTTGTGCGCGGTAGCTGTCAAAAAGGAAATAAAACCATGCTAACTTTCGAATTTCGATTATGCAATCTAGTGCTATGCGAGTCAACCAACTCAGCAAACAGGCAACTTTGCAAGTTAAATATGACGTTTTCACGAGTAACTAAATAAGCTTGGATAATAGATATCCTTGAGTCTTTCCCATTCATGTATGTTAATGTTCTTATTGAATCATTTTATGTTCCCATTGATAATTTTAATGTTTAATTCCGGGATTGCATGAAAGACTATACTAATTATGATGTATTAAATCAGCTTCTGAAAATATCCATAATTTGGGATCGCGCAACGGTATAAAAATCAAGCCTAAGCCAGAAATTGTAAAATAGGTTGTTGACCATATGATATCTAAAATCGATAAATTCTTTACTGAAAAATCTGTGGAGGACTCAATTTCAGAAGTTGAAACTGGCTGCGAAACCATCATTCAGCAGATGATGAAAGAGTAAAGAAACGCAAGTTGGAAGATAATGAAGAGACAACTACGAAGCAAGCCGTCTTGAAATTACTTTAAAGCTCAGACATTCTAGACAAATCAGTTTGTCGCCTGCATTCATAAGCAGAATATAATATATAACTATCAAATATATTATTTTTTTAACTAGAATATAAAATGTGAAATATTTTGAGAAGCATGTCTATTAGACTAAAGTCACTAGACTCACTAAACCCCCGCTTGTTTAATTTCATGGCCAATGGCTACGCCCAATTGAGCTACCACGTCCATTTGATTTTCAAGAGCATCCCCCAATTCTAAAATTAGCAAAACATTGCTGCTGTTATCCCTATTATAGTACTCACCAAAGTGACTGGATCAATTAGGACTATATTCTTTACTCGATTGACAACACACTAAAATGGTTAAATATTTTATTCGCCTCCCCTTACTACATATTATTTATTTAACTCTTCTAGGCATATTCCCTATGGTATTATTGATATAATTGGTTGACATCTGGAAGTGTTGCTTTTTTCATCAAGATAAAATGCCATGTCGTTTGTCCAATAAGTTGAGTTTAACTTCTACGCCACTCTTGCATATTTGCGCCTTTTCTGAAAATCCTTTTCACATAAATATCCTTTGCATGTATGGCGAAAACACTTTGTTCAGCTAAGAAACAAAAGTTCGGTATGTTGCTTTTCTGCGGTCAATTTGGGTTAGTTAAATTAAGCTGTGACACAGAACGACAGTAGACATGGACATCCACATATTTCACCTTACTTCATTTAATTTTTGTTCATTTTAAAATCTTCTTTCAAAACCTTTAAACACTTGAGATTTTAATCTTGCCAGCAATTTGGCAACACAAGTAGTCTTTCTCGCTGTGACGAAACAAAGTTAGAGCTCATTTCTTGCCACAAACTCATTCACTGAACACCATTTTGTTGACATAAGCTATGACATTTTATTTTAGTACTTAGGCTTCATCAGCTGTGTATTGTGAGTTATGAGTAATAAAGCATTGCTATATCTCACTTCCATGTTCTCATATAATCTTGATTTTACTAGTATTTTCTTCATTTAATGAGTTTATACTAGTTAAGATGTGAGCGAATGATCATAAACCAGGACCAGCCTGTTATGATCGAAAATGTCCAAACCAACCCCTATACAGGGATGTAAACATCGATGTAAATATTTTTTATACTAATATTAAAAACGCAGAGCTGTATGATTAACTGAATGAGTAGAAAGTCCTAGTGCACCTCAAACGTTGTCAGTTACTATGTTTATCCCTGGCCCAATGGCGTGGAGCGCTGTGCCTGGGACGAGGGTACTAATTCCGCCCGGCTATTTACACCCGGGGAAACGAAGTCTAAAGTTAATCAATGATCGTGGGCGACCAACCATGGTGAGTGGGTGGTCATCCTCACTGATCTCAAAATATGTGGCGGACTGTCATGAATAGTGAACTCTGATTGGTCAAATTTAAAAGTTGTTGTATGACAAATGACAACAGCGAATTAAACACATGGTAGCCTCAGTTTCTTTTGTTTCAACAGGGACGTTTAATCACATATTTCTCTCATTACCCATGCATATGCTTTTGTCTTCTAAATTTCCCTGGGAAACAGGGATATTTAGTTGAAACAAAGGATTTCTTTGTCTTCTACTTTTCCCCTGCATGCTTGATGAGGGATATTTAGAAGACAAAAGCGTACCTCATTACCTCTGATTGGAGAGCTGTACCTCATTGAAAATCATCGGCACAACTATGGACCGTCCCGTACACATTCGAACAATCACTTTGCCAGCTTTTATTGTCTTGAACATTTCAATGTGGGAGAAAATTCCATTTATGCGCATGCCTAAAACGAATGAACACAGAGATGTGTTTCTGCGCATGTGTATATATGAAAAGTGTTCGCACCACAATCATAAGACAATCAAACAACATTCAAAACAGGCAACACACCACGAGCGATTCCCTTGGCTACCATGTATTTACAAACTAAATGCATGCTTTGAGGGAAATTAGTGATTATTATATCGATATTATTGATGAAGAAACAGAATCAGATGGATACAACTTAATACGAGTGTGGCAGCTAAATCATGTAATCCCCACTTGTTGTCATGCGTTTGTATAATTTGCAAATCAGAAAAGTCTTATTTCACTGAATTGGTAAGTTTATTGATTTTTTTTTTTTACAATTATTGTTATTTTTCTAATATGTGTTTTATAATTATATATTGATTGCATTGCCCTTAGTCACTCCTGTTATATAAACGGTTGTGTGATTTCTATGCATGGCTTTTTTTATTGTTTAGAAGTCGAAAAAGTGAAAGCTGGACAAAATGGTATCTGTGGAAACAGTAGATAGTGGTAAACTGAAAGAAGCTGCAACAAAGAAAGTTGATGAAAGTATTTGGATTCAAATTGGCATTGAAAGTGAAATACCATAAACATTGACATTGTTATGAAAAGTACCCTTACGAAAAAATCCTATAGGAATTCCTATTAGATTTTGGCCCAATTTCCTATAGGAATTCCTATAGGAATTCCTATAGCATCCTATAGAAATCCCCATATAGCATCCTATAGAAATTCTTGTATAAATTCTCCAAATCAAATTGCCTAAAAGAGTTAACCAAGGTGAAGGAAAATGACAAATAATGATAAAATATCACAATGACTTGATAAAATATCACAATGACTTGATAAAATATTAAAATGACTTGATAAAATATCATGGCATGTCAAAGAATGATTTTTCTTTGACATGGAATGCAGATGGAATACCTGTGTTCAAATCATCTCAGTATTCCATATGGCCAGTGCAATGCATGATAAATGAGCTACCAATACATCTTCGATCAAGCAATATTTTGCTCACAGGATTATGGTTTGGTCGAACTAAGCTGAAAATGAACACGTTTTTAATGTCGTTTGTCAATGAATGTAGAAAGTTGGAGCAAGGAGGTTTTCTCTTCCAGGGAGAATCTGATCGGCGTAAAGTATATGCCCTAGTATGCTCTAGCGATGCTCCTGCCCGAGCAATGTTGAGGAACTGCAAGCAGTTCAATGGAAAGTGTGGCTGTGATTGGTGCGAACATGAGGGTGTTACAGTTGCACCAACAAGATATTATCCAGAGCGTGGAGATCAGAGCCCAAGGACAGCGCAAGGACAAGCTGAATATGGAGCAAAGGCTGAACTTTTACAAGAGGCTGTGAAAGGGGTGAAAGGGATTTCTGTTATAGATATTCTTCCCACCTTTGATACGGTACATGGCTTCACACCTGAATACATGCATTCGGTGTGTCAAGGTGTCATTCGCCAAGTTTGTAACATTTGGCTTGATTCGGCAAACCATGAAGAGGACTTCTACTTGGGCAGAAAAGTGGAAGCGTTGGATGAGCGGTTAATAGCAATAAGCCCTCCTTCAGAGATCACAAGAGCTCCACGGTCTATCAAGGAGAGAAAATTTTGGAAGGCATCAGAATGGAGAGCATTCATGCTCTATAGTTTGGTGGTGCTACATGGATTACTACCTCGTGCATATTTGAAACATTTCTTTTTACTTGTACATGGCGTGTACACTCTCCTCCGTGACAACATCACAAATGACATGCTCCTACATGCACAGGCTTGTCTAGTGAAGTTCGCCAAGGATATGGAGAGATTGTATGGTCTGCGTTCCTGTACATTTAACGTTCACCAAATGACACATTTGGCAGATGGAGTGAAGAGCTGTGGGCCGTTGTGGGCAACTTCAGCATATATATTTGAGGCGAACAATCATATGTTGCTGAAGATGTTCAGCGGCACCCAGTATGTGCCACAGCAGATATGCAATACTTTTATTTTAGGTCAGAAATTACCGGTAATTGGAAGACAGTGCATCAAAGAAGATACATCGCCAAGTGTAAAACACGTGTTCCAGAAGTTATCAAAGGGCAACTACCCAACGAAAAGTCGTCGCATTTTGGAAAGGAACGTGTCGGGACTAGGGGTTGGGAAACCTGTATTTCTTACAGCTTCCCAAGCTGTTTCGTTGGCCAAGTTCATTGACAGAGACGTTCTAAACCGTTCTGCTACCGTCTACAACAGATTCATTGTGAACAATGTTCTGTACACAGCTGAGAGCTACACCAGATCAATCCGACACCACAACAGCCTTGTTCGATTTGACCATGCAGCGTCCAAGTATGGTCGAATTATTGGCCTGTACACTGCAAAACCAGATTGCTGCTGCAGTGAAGCTGAGATACAGGCGTGTCAGTGCACTGTTTACACTGTGGTAATCTTGAAGATACTCCAATGTGAGACGGGGTCACTTTTTTCAAGTGCTGAATGTGGAGTAACTTCACATTTTCTGAAAGAATACACTGACAGCTACACAACTGTAGCTATCCACCCAGAACAGCTTGATGTCAAATGCATTGACTTAAAACTCTCCAACCGTCAATTTCTGTGTGAAATTCCTTGTAGGTTTTATGGGGATTAATAGACCTTACCGATTATTTCCGTTTACCCAATGGTCTCGTTTTCATGTTTGCTTCTTTTCTGTACTTTGGCAAGCACACGTAAAGGTTATGTTCCCACTTTTTCTGCACGAATTTGTTTGTTGTTGAGCTTAAACTCAATCATAACCTTATTCTTTTAACCTTATTGAGCACGAAATGCAAGTAAATACCCAACGCGAAAACGAGGCCATGGAGTGAAAAGTAAATAACCTGTAAAGTCTATTGGTACGGTATATTAAGTAAGTACTGTAAGTAATGGGTGCTCTTATTATCCAAAGAGGTGACTAATTCTTTTCACATAAGTCGCCTCCGAATAGAATCGAACTCACGATAGCGGAGGTGAAAGTGTTCTCTCACGATTGTGCCATATACCGAAGCCCCAAGTAAAATATGGTAAAATATCTATGTATTAATTGTATTTATTGACTTAGGAGCGAACATTTGAACTCCTGAACGAACTTCAAAACATACGGCGGAAAATTTTTATGAAATCAATTGCAAGGCGCCCTTTTCAAAAGTATAAATTATGTTATTTTCTGCCATTGACGTCAATTTCAGCCTTCGATTCAACGTGGGAACGAGGTTGCCTTCGATTTCATTTTCAGCTTTTAAAATTTATTGAAAAACAACACTCAATAGTCTAAAACAATATGCCAAATTAAAAAAACCCTGAAATGTGTCAATTGTGGAAAATCGCATATTTTATGCTCATGAAATAACTCTATATGAAATATTAACTCTTTTATGTGCATGGCATTTCTATACAAATGTAAATTACTGTATTAAAGTGGTGAATATATTTTATACCTATTTGTGGTTCTAATATAATTCCTGTTGCATTTAGTTTAGTTAAATTATTTGCCCTTGTTTGATTATACAAAAGTGACGTGCAAACAAAATTCGTTTTGACATAATTTACTTTTTTAATTAGTTTTCGTCTTAGATTTCAGTCTTCAGATTTTGTACGCAAATTAAGAAAACGCGGCAATAAGGAAATTAGTTGAACGAGAAATTATATTCCATTATGGAAATTAATTGTTAGGAATGTTTCGTGGGAATTTATCGTACAGAATCGATCCTATATATAATAAACAAAATATAATTGTTATTTTGCTGTTATTTCAGTCATGTTATGTACTATCATATATTTTATTTATGTGACAATGTGTTTAGCTGGAATTGCTAATACCAACCTAATACCGGAATATAGGAATTTTGTCCCAGTTCTTATAGAAAATTTCCCTAGGAATTCCTATAGGAAATTCTTATAGGAATTCCTATAGGAAATTCTTACAGGAATTCCTATAGGAAATTCTTATAGGAATCTTATTCCTATAGGAATTCCTATAGGAATTCTATTCCTATAGGAATTCCTATAGGAATTCCTATAGGAATTCTATTCCTATAGGATCCTATAGGAATTCCTATAGGAATTCCTATAGGAATTCCTATAGGAATTCTATTCCTATAGGATCCTATAGGAATTCCTATAGGAAATGGGGTTTCCTATAGGAATTCCTATAGGATCCTATAGGATTTTTTCGTAAGGGATGTCACAAAATGTTTTCGATTTTCCTTTGCAAGATAAGCGATCTTAAAGATAGCAAAGCAAGAAAGGCCTAGTCTGCGCGCAGACTATATAATGACATATATATGTTATTATATAGTCTGCGCGCAGGCTAGTAAAGAACAAATACGACACTTATATTGCATGTGTGAATATTCATACAAAATATAATGGTTGGTTAATATTATATTAAGATTTTGACAAACTCCAACCAATTTCGCTGTTTGAAATTCTGCTAGCTAATTTAGGCTATATATCTGCATGGTTGGTATTTATATATGATTTTGACAAACTCAAACCGTTTTCTGTGTCTGAAATTCAGACACCTAATTTATCTCAGTCTGCATGTTTGGTATTTATATATGATTTTGACAAACTCAAACCATTTTGGGTGTCTGAAATTCAGACACCTAATTTATCTCAGTCTGCATGGTTGGTATTTATATATGATTTTGACAAACTCAAACCATTTTGAGTGTCTGAAATTCAGACACCTAATTTATCTCAGTCTGCATGGTTGCTATTTATACATGATTTTGACAAACTCAAACCGTTTTCGGTGTCTGAAATTCAGACACTTAATTTATCTCTGCATGGTTGGTATTTATATATGATTTTGACAAACTCAAATCGATTTCGGTGTCTGAAATTCAGCTACCTAATTTATCTCAGTCTGCATGGTTGGTATTTATATATGATTTTGACAAACTCAAATCGATTTCGGTCTCTGAAATTCAGCTACCTAATTTATCTCAGTCTGCATGGTTGGTATTTATATATGATTTTGACAAACTCAAACCGTTTTCGGTGTCTGAAATTCAGACACCTAATTTATCTCAGTCTGCATGGTTGGTATTTATATATGATTTTGACAAACTCAAACCGTTTTCGGTGTCTGAAATTCAGACACCCAAATTTATCTCAGTCTGTATGGTTGGTATTTATATATGATTTTGACAAAGTCAAACCGTTTTCGGTGTCTGAAATTCAGACACCGAATTTATCTCTTACTATATATTCACTATACAGTATTTTTTGAAGATTGTAAAAATCTGTTTTATAAATAAGGGATTTTGAGGAAATCTTAAAGGTTGACATAAAATTCTGTGATTTTTGAGGAGGGAAATTAACCTTTCCTCCAAATTTATAAATATTATTTGATTTTAAGGTGGAAATATATAAAGTTTGCAAAAAATGTACAAAACAACTACTAAAAGCAGCAGTAAATTTTCTATTCCGCAAAATTGAAATAAATTATTTTTACACATTTTTACCAAAAACGAATTTCTCTTGCAATATTAGAGGAAAATTATAGTGATTTAATGTATTTAGTTAAATTGTGCAGAAAAATTGGTCAAATTCTGCAAAATTAAGGATATTTTTTGTGAATTTGGTAGTTTGGAATTATTGAAAATAGTTTGGAACGCGTTATATATATATATATATATATATATATATACAGTATTTTGTACAGTTAAACTAGCTGTTTAGTACCACTTCTCCGTTTTAATATAGTGCGAAAATATAGGCAAACTGTTCTAGTTTTTTATCTGATATTACATGGAATGTGCCGAAGTGTTAATTGTAGTCATCGTAGACTACTAGGGAGTAGTCCCTAGCAGTTTTTTGGTGACTGTAAACGGTGCAATTGTGGTGGTCAGGTTAGGCGTCATTTATAAACCTGAATAATAAACCTGACTGCCTGCATGTGGTATTAAAATATAAAAATTAATCTATGACACTGTGCAATAAGAAATCATTTTCTACTGTCAGGTTCTTTTGATTTTACTTAACTCCTCAGCTTACTCAAAATAGCTTTGGCATATTTAAGCTTGTTTCTCAAAAGTTGAGCATGTGAACATGCAGCTATATCCTTTTCAGTGGCAACTTTGCAGTTGTTTATAAAGAAATCTCTCTCCCATTGACTAAGCTGTCAAGCTTGTTTCTCGCTGTTGTTTTGAGACACGGGTTTCCTTCACAGCCACTTTTCTCATGAACGCGTCATAGTAAAGTTCGTCAGCGGGGAACTGTTTATACTTTTGTCTGGCTTTATCAAACTGCAGCACTTCATTCGTCTTGCCCATCACAAACTCTTGCCCATCACATCACAATTGCTTTCCCTAATTTTGTTACACATCCCACAGAATTTTCAGCTTGGACTTTGCAGTTGATACCAGAACAATCATCTTTGTTTACTGTTGCAGGATGTCTCAGTGTTGTTTCTAGCTCATTGCCTACTGAACAGGCAGAATCTGTAATGAACATAAACATACAATTAATGTTTACTAATTAAGGTTATTTATAATTCTGAGATAATACTTACTGCCGTACCATACAGATAAGCCAGAAACCCATTGTACATCTTTATACACTATTGCTGACATGGCCGTGGCTAAAACGATAAGGGGGGGGGGGGGTATATTCATATATTTGTGTTCTGCAAGACGGAATTCTTGTTTTTATGGTATGTAAACATGAATATATGAATAGACACCACCACAATTATCGTGTCTAGCTACGGCCCTGATAGGTGATGTGCTATAGTTATGGCTATATACAGTAACTAGACCTCTGGAGAATACTTTACCTATTGATACTTCTGTACAACCATGTTGCTCACTGTTAGCACTTGAGTCAGGCATTATACTGCTTGTGTTATCCTCATCAAGCTCAGCTGGTTCTAGATCAAAAGTGTTAAATGAATTATCTAGGTGGAATCCAACAATTTCCGGTTCAAACTCTTCGTTCTGTTGACGTTGTTCATCTGTGCCTGGCTGTTCTTCCATGTTAGATTGTTCTTCAGCCTGTTGTTCTTCATTAGTCGCATTGTCATTGACAACCATATTAGCACATGGTGAGGTAATCACAATCTTAAGCTGACCATGCTCATCTTCAACTCGAATGGCCTTTATTGGAAGGATAACACCATTTGTTAAGCATTGCTTCCAACAATCGATAAGGTACTGTTCTTCAACACAAAAATTGCTAGACCGAAAGTGGTGAAGTAAAGGCGCACTTATATTTGATTCCTTTTCCCCACCTTGCGCACGTATATTTGATTCCTTTTCCCCATCAAGAAATTCAGTATCACCATCCTCATGCTCAATCCACCAGATTCCTTTACCTGGCAGGAGAAAATCACTAACTCTTTCAAGGTGAGCTTGCCATGATCTGATGTGCTTCTCTTTTAGGTCTTGTGGAATTACGGTGTTACCACATGAGGGTAGTGATGCTGCAAGCTTAGAAACAGATGCTTCTTGCTTAGAGAAACAAGAGCCTTGGAAAGCTTGCATCTGTTTCTCGGCTTGCAGTCTGATGAAGATGTTTCCAATGATGTGACTCGGGTGGTAGGAGGAGGTCGTCACAGTGATGTTGGTAATGGTGTTAAAGATTCGTTCTTGCTCTTCGACATTGCATGCTTTTCCACTGATCAGGCGATGTTGTATTGCAGCGTGGCTGGTGATGTTATGATAATAATTGCCATACAGCTTACGGGTGGTAATTTCCTTAAGCTTGAATCCAAGTACTTCTCTACACAAGATGCCATGATACCATGTCATGTTGTGCATGCGAAGAACAGACTTAGGAGTTCTCTCCGCTTCTGAACTGTAAGCAATTCTTTGAATTTCCACCAGTGTGGTCAAAAGGTGCTGAACCAGCTTCGAACTGATAATCTTGGATGATTGTTTTGCAAGGATGATAAGAGCACAACGATAATCAAATGTTCGTTTAGTTTCCTTCCCACCAATTGTACAAGTAATAATGTCCTTGACAGCAATAGCCTCTCTTTCAGGAAGGTGATGTGGAAGTTCAGTAAAAATGTTTTCAATATGTTTTCCGATGTCATGAAGTGGTTCAAAGCTAAGGATCTCGTACTTGTCACAGTTGATGGATTGGAGAGTTGATGTTGGGTTTGTGTAAAGTAATGCTGGTACTCGTTGAACCCCATGTAAATCCTCTGCCAAGATCTTCTCAAGTTCATTCTTTTTATCACCCTCATAATTTCCTCTGGCATTTAGTTCTCGAATAAGTTCATCCTTCTTTAGGTTTTTGAATGGCTTGGGAGATTTTGCCAGGGAATTTTTTCTTCCTAGAGGACCGGCGAGCACTATCTGTTGTCTGTCAGACAACGACAGGTAGTGGCAGGAAAAACAAATGTCCAGTTGATATGCTTGTGCATTTGCACCACATCCTGAACAGTAAAAATTGCCTCCTTTCTGTTGACCAGCCTCAAGTTGGCGAGCTGGACTGTCACCATGAAAGAAACGCATTGTGTCAGTAACATTGTTTCCAGATTTTGTTTGGAGCTTTACTTTCATGTCCTGCAAGCACTCAAGTCGTGTGTCAATGTAGGACAATTGCTCAACATCTGAACTACCAGACCTTGCAACAATATAGACTTCAGGTGTTTGGACTTTCATTTGTATATCTATGTTCTTATTTCCAGTAAGGTTTTGATATTCTTCTGTCGTGTAATGCACCGCAGGGTCATAAAGGCATGACACCATGAAAACTAAGTGACCATGATTGGCAATTGTTGAAAGATCATGCCACATCTTCAGGTGCCTTGTACTTTCAATATCTTTCAGCCTAGCTCTCATTTCATCCTCATTTTCTCCTTCGATGTGTTCATTAATCGCTTTCAATGATTTTGTCAGACTATCCTTTGTCAGCTTGTCATATTCGTCATTGGTCCTCTGCCTCATGTATTTTTCTTGACTCGAAAGCATCCTCTCTCTTATTTCTAGCAGTGGCTGCTTTCGTCCATCGACCATAAACTCTGTTTCTACCATCTCCCCAGAATCACTGAGTACCATCTTGACATACTAGAAATAGAAAGTGAGTAAAATTTTATAAAGATAAAGTTAATATTTGCACATAATACGCCTGTGCCATATTAATTAACTGGGGTAGGAAATTATTCATGATTTGTCTTTAAAAGTGCCTTAATTATCTACTAATTAAGATTCAGTATACAGTATTAGTAGTGTTGAATGTTTGTGTCAAATGTTTTACTAAAATCAGATGAGTTGAAGTTGAGTTACTGTACGTATATACTGTATGTATTTATATGTACACATGCACACCTTTCGTGGTAGTATTTGTTGTCCAACAGTATATTCACCCGACAAGATTTTTTCTTTCATGTCAGCCTTCACACTTTCCGTTGTTTGTGGCACTGCGACACTAATTTCTCCACCATGTCCCCTCAGTTTCTTTCGTCGCACTTTCTCATCGTTCCCATCAGTTTGCGCTTGAATCGATTGATGTCAACAGCAGCAGATTTTAGCCATTCTTTTGCAATTTGACCTCCATTCTTTGCTATTTGACCCTGAGTGTTCCTGATGTTGTGCTTTCTTGCTAGAGTTGACCAGTTTATAACCATATTATCTGGATAAATTTCCACTTCCTCTTTCATTTTCTCCTTATCAAAATTTTTGTTTTGTAAGTTTCCAACAGGACTTCTCTTCTTTGTGCCAGCTTCTACACTGCTTCAATGTTTTGCATCTTCAGTACTTTCAAATGCCATGGCAAAGCGTGATCGCTGTGTTGCTGCCAAAGACTGGCGGTTACCATAGCACCTTAGGAATATAGAAGAATGTTATTTTAGTTTGTTATTCCTGTATGTTTATACATAATTATTTTTGGCTCTGCGTTAAATTTCATATTACTGAATTAAGTGGGCTGCCATGGCCAGGAGCTATGGGAGGCAACTAACTGAGAATCTGAGATAATAGCAAGCTTGACAAAAGCCCTCGACTTAGCCTGAGGGTTGCTCCAGTAAGAATGAGCTGATATGTAATATTTTACCACAAATTTGATTGCTTTAGAACTTAGAAGCCATTTAATATACTGTACCACAGACATACAGTACCTGTCGCGAGTAAGGGTACCTCCACTCGCGCGTAGCGAGTACTCGCGAGTACGCGCGAGTCAAAGCGAGTACTCGTTCTGACTCGCTACTCGCGAGTACTCGCATTTCACCTCACTCGCAAGCACTCGTCACTCGCAACTTGCGAGTGCTTGCGAGTCAAAAGGCTCAGACAATTTGTACAAATATGAAGCGAATAATTCAGCTAAATGATATAAAACTCCATAGTTATATGAAACCTAGTATGATAGATATTAGCGTGTTTATAAACGACTGCCACATGGTGGGACATATTTTCTTCGAACAAAGTTCGTAGATGGACCGACTATCTTAGAAGCGTTAACTATAACTGAGTCTATATATCAATCAAAACAAAGCTTTAAAAGCAAAACCGCCGTCAAAACGGTAAAAATGACACCAAAATGCGAATGATTGGACGAACAAATGCCATATTTAAATTTGGGACTATATATTCAAATATGGTCCGGTTGTAAGAAATACTAAGAATTGGCATTGAGTTCGGTGACGCTGTTTAACAATATAAATATCGAGTACTCGTCGACGTTGTCTTGTAGTTCCAGTAAGATTCGAGAATCAAATTAGGAGTAAAAACGTAATACTGTAAAGTGCAAAGTGACAAAATATAACTTACATTGTATATGCTGCTAGCATCTGTCTTGAATCGGGAACCGTTACAAACTCACAGTTTCTCGCTCGTTATAGTCAAGCGACTTGATGCGCTGAATCCAATTGAAGATAATATCGATTGAACCCCACGGAACAACGAAACACGAACATACCGGCTTTATTTATCGCAAAGAATTCAATTATACTAGTATCATATAATCGACAAATCCTGCCTATACTAACACAAGTATGGATTGTTTTGGCAGGTCTCATGCATGTATGGTCATTATGATACTAATAATAATAGTATTTAATATTTATATTGCGCAAATTAACATGTTATAGTATATGATCAAATGCGCATCACAAAACATAATTACACTAAAATTATTCTATGCTGAATGGTTACTAACTAAAAATATAAAGAAGATTATATAGATTATATGTTACATGAAGTATTTACATTAAAGGCTTCTTCAAAATAATAAGTCTTAACTAATTTCTTGAAAATACTAAAGTTATGCAGATTTCTAATATACATAGGTAATTCATTCCAGATTTTTGGAGCGGAGGTTACAAATGCCCTGTCACCGAGTGTTTTCTTTGTTTTTGTACTGTAGTCTTCAAGCAGTGTGCCTTCGTTAGATCTTAGACTATAGCACGATGTCTTTCTTACTTTTAAAAGATCGACAAGATAGAGAGGTGCATACTGATGGACACATTTAAAAGCAAGCATGGCAATTTTGAACTTGATCCCCAATCGAACGGGAAGCCAGTGTAGTTTGATGAGAGTCGGAGTGATGTGATCATGTTTAGGGATAGAACAGATAAGACGTGCTGCTGTATTTTGCAGCCGTTGTAGTTTAGACAGATGTACATCTGTGACACCAAATAGAAGACTGTTACAGTAGTCTATCCTTGACATTATTAGTGCTTGGACCACAGACTTTATATCTTGATAGCTTAAAAACTTTCGAATACGTCTAATGTTATGAAGATGATATACTACAGTCTTATTTATATGATGTGACATATTAAGATTGTTATCAAACCATACTCCGAGATTTCTGGCACACGATACTACTGGAACACTATCTTGACCAATGACAATACTAGAGATGTTAACCTTTTTGAGCTGAGCAGCAGTTCCAATTATTAAAAACTCTGTCTTCCCATCATTCAGTTTAAGCTTATCAACTGTCATCCAAGTCCTGATATCCTTGATACAATTCTGTAGTGCACATATTACATCAAGCTCATTAGTAGCACCGTCCGGCTTAAAAGAAAGGTATAATTGAGTATCATCAGCATACGCATGCACGTCTAGCAGGTGACACTTAACTATTTCGAATAGCTTGCTTGCGTAGATTGTGAAAAGCAACGGACCGAGACAAGAGCCTTGAGGAACACCATGAGGGAGAGAGAAACTTTCGGAGTAGTTACCATTTATTAGCACACGTTGAGATCTGTTAGTTAAGTAGGATTTAAACCATTTAAGGGCAGTATCTGTTATTCCAAAGCTGACCTCAAGACGATGTAATAACACTTGATGATCTGCAGTGTCAAATGCAGCACTCAAGTCTAAAAGTACTAGTAGCGAGACTCTTTGTTGGTCCATAGAGCACATGATGTCATTATGTACTTTTAGTAAGGCTGTTTCCGTACTATGACCAGCTCGATATGCTGATTGTAGGATTGGGTGTATATCTGAACATTTAATGTGTTCAAGTGTCTGGTCACTTACAGCTCTTTCCGTCAGTTTAGATACAAACTGGAGATTACTTATTGGTCGTAAATTTGATAGCGATGCAGGTTGACCAGTTTTCTTGAGCCTTGGGTCAACAAGGGTGGATTTCCAAGCAGAAGGAAAATAACCTAGCGAGAGGGAGGAGTTGATCATGCAGGTAATGACAGGTAGCAGTTCGTTTAGACTCTTGACCACGAGTGATGTAGGCATAGGATCTAGGGCGCAACTCTTCTTCGCTGATTTCTGAATAAGCTGGGACACCATGTCAGTTGAAAGAACCTCGAATTTCTCTAGACTTTGATTAAAACCAAACTTAGGGTCATTTATTAGTCGAGAACTATCACATTGATCAATAACCACAGCCTCAAGCTCTTTACGAATATTGATGACCTTTTTATAAAAAAAATGGCCAATGTCATTCGCAAGTGATGTATCGTCAGAGTAATCAGGGAAGCACACTTCATCCTTCGGGTGGAGGAGGGCATTTGTTGCTCTAAACAGTCTATTTTGGTCATTTCCGTTTTCGTTGATAAACTGTGCGTAGAACTCTCTGCGCGCCTTATTGCTGATGTACGTAACATGATTTTTCAGCTTTTTGAACAAGAGTAAGTCATCTTCTGCTTTGCTTTTTCTCCAAATCCGTTCAGCCTTGCGCCGTTTTCTCTTCGCTGCTGCAATGTCATGATTATACCAAGGGACCTGAGATCTAGCTTTCACAGTTTTGGTTGTCAGTGGTGCATGCTTATCTATCATACTTGTGAGGGTGGTGTTGTAGATGTTCACAAGCCTATCAAGATCTTCAGGGACAGAGTGCTCTCTTGGTTCTTTATAACATAGGACACTGCTTGCCAATTCATGTTTGAAGCAGTCAATGTCAACAGCCTTGATCTTTCTATAGCTGATTGATTTAGTCTGTAATGGTGGTTTTTTTATGGCAATGTCAAAGTGAACTGATGTATGATCAGAGAAATAACTACAGCTGCGTGGTGGAAATGGAATGATGTTTTTTGTCTTACGTGTAATAACAAGATCAAGGATATGACCATGTATGTGAGTCGACTTTGTGACATGTTGCTCAAGCCCAAAGGATTCCAACAGATCATGAAATTTTACAGTATCAGCATCATCAGAAACGTCTAAGTGTATGTTGAAGTCCCCTAAAACGAGCAGGTGTTCCTTTGATAAAATAACGGATTCCATATAGTTTGAGAACTGTCTAATGAAAGTGCCAATGGAGATCTTATCCGTTATTTCTAAGGTACTTTGGTAAGGTAAGGGCATTTGCCCCCCTTGCCCCCCCCCCCTGGCGCCGCCACTGTAAAGTTGGTATATATAAATGATGTTTCAACGCATGCATGTGTGTCTATTCGTTCATGTTTAAACTGTAAATTAAACTGACGGCTCAGTGAGGGAATTTTAGTACGAGTAAAAATCCTACGACTCTATCCGCGTTTTCGCTCGAGTTTTCGCTTGCTCTGAGATTCAATATTGTTGGCCGTCTATAATATGGCATAGCAGACCGAGCATACTAGCCTACATATAAAGTCGCACACGACGACGCGGTACTAGGCTATATGTCCTGACTATATATATCATTATGGAGGTACTGACACAGTATAGGCTATAGCACGAAAGACTGCATACATTGCATACACTACAAATTATTCTCTTTTAGGATGCGCCAGTTTTATATTTATAAACAACAAGTTGATCTTCTGCTGACATGTTTGTACTGAATCAACTTGTTGTTTATAAGTATAAAACTGGCGCATCCTAAAAGAGAATAATTTGTAGTGTGTGCAATCGTTCGTGCTATATAGCCTATACTGTGTCAGTACCTCGGAGTCCATAATGATATATACAGGAGTCAGGACATCAGATAGCCTAGTACCGCGTCGTTGTGTGCGACCTTCTTATATGTAGGCTAGTATGCTCGGTATGCTATGCCATATTATAGACGGCCAACAATATTGAATCTCAGAGCAAGCGAAAACTCGAGAAAACGCGGATAGAATCGTATAGGATTTTTACTCGTACTAAAATTCCCTCACTGAGTGTCAGTTTAATTTACAGTTTAAACATGAACGAATAGACACACATGCATGCGTTGAAACATCATTTATATATACCAACTTTATAATACATGGTCTATAACTCTAATTTGTTTGTGTTTTTGTCATTTTAATTGAGCGAAAGGTTTATATTATCACGCGCTATAAAAGCTTTTTTACCAGGTTTTTTATAAAATATTTCGTGTGAGAAAGGATCAATATTAAAGAACTGTCTGTATTAAAGTGATGCTATTAAAAATACCAACTTCTAACGGGAATTGAAAATTATCCTTTGCAGTAGCGTGCTGGGTACTATTTTTCTGGGGGGGGCAGTCGGCTGGCAACCAATATGCGCCCCTATATAAATATTACGCTTGATAAACGTGGGCCGACGGCACGAACCGAGCGCCGCAGGTGCGAGGTTTGTCTAAGGGAGTCCGGGGGCATGCCCCCAGGAAAATTTTTGAATTTAGAGTCTCTGAAAAGCCATTTCCTGGACTTTGGGGGAAGATTTGACAGAAATCTGATGGTCAGGAAACGGCATTACAACGTGTCGAAATTTGCAAATTGGTTAGAATTTAGTAGTAGTACTTAAATTGGGCAATGCTAACTACTTCCAGCAATTAATCTAATCCCAATTCTATTCTCTACTGATCTGAATACATTGGCATGGTAGAAAACCCGGGTAGCGGATAACCGGATAACCGGATAACCGGATAACCGGATAACCGGATAACCGGATAACCGGATAACCGGATAATCGGATAACCGGATAACCGGATAACCGGATAACCGGATAACCGGATAATCGGATAACCGGATAACCGGATAACCGGATAACCGGATAATCGGATAACCGGATAACCGGATAATCGGATAACCGGATAACTGGATAACCGGATAACCGGATAATCGGATAACCGGATAACCGGATAACCGGATAACCGGATAACCGGATAACCGGATAACCGGATAATCGGATAACCGGATAACCGGATAACCGGATAACCGGATAACCGAATAGTATATAGAGATTTTTTCATGGGAAATACTTACGTGTGGTATTTACGCACGCGTTATAATCTGTTTTCGCAAATTAAACGAACGAGCGAGTGCAAAATTTGTTCTTCATAGACGATACAGAGTTTATTTATATTACACAGCGAAAAATATAAAGGTTTATATGTTTCATAAAGCGAGACAATCAGATAAACAAAGTCGTGCCGTACAAAAATACATCGGAAAATACAAATTTTTCAGTATTAATGAACAGGAAAGGAAATATCAATTTATTATTATTATTTACAAATATTTTAAAACGGTAGCTCTTCAGAACACCTATGATCCGTTTTTCAAGAGGCCGTTTAAACTAATATTTACAAAGTTTAATAAAAATTACATCTAAAATATAATATAATATAAATTATCATACAGTTAAAGTCTAAGAGAATATATACAAAATATTGTGTCCCATCGTCATTTCTTTTGAATCTCATTTGGCAAATTATTCCAGCATTTTGCCCCTGAGTAGCTAATACTTTTTTTGAGGAAATTAGTCTTAGGTTTATCCAGTTGAAAATTAATTCCGTTATTTCTAAGGTCATATTTTTCATTATTAGTAGGCCTTTCCCGATTGCGCTGAGCACTTTTTGAGCACTTTTTCTTGTTTGGAGCACCATTTTGCATGTTGAGCAACGTTGAGCACTTTTTCGCACTTTGGGCAACATTTGAGCAATATTTCACATTTCGAGCGAATTTTGAGCAACAAAAAG